GCATATGTACCCATAAGGCCATGGCAATTACCTTAAGTTCTCAGCACGCGTTATTGGAAGTGGAAAATGTACTAATTCTGAACTGCTGACAAAAGAAAATTGTAATTGCAGTAAATTGATGTGTAGACCTCCAGTTCACCCACATAAATTTTCTCGTATTTCCTACCTTGCTATATAGAAATCCGACTTGGTGTGTTAATGCCAATGACGGGCCGATGGCCAATCGGAACACGCACAGCTGCAGCCGTCCCCATGGCAATATCTGCCCTCATGAACGATTCCAGCCTTTTACCTGGATACAACATCTCGTTCAGGATTGAAGATAGCTCGTGTGAACCTGAGCAGGGCTTGCGAGGAATTGTGGGATTTCAATCAGTTGATGTCTTCATTGGACCTGCGTGCTCCGTCGTCGCTGAACCAGTGGCTCTCCTCGCTAAGATATGGAAGAAACCCATCATAACATACGCCGCTTCCTCCAATAAATTCATCGACAAAAACATTTACAGCACCCTCGCCACCATTACAGCTTATGCGAGACGAAGCGAGAGATATACACCGGCGTTTGTTTTTCAGATTCTCAAGGCGTTCAAATGGACAATTTTTGCCATTTTGAGTTCGTCTGAGGTCGAATGGTAGACCATGGCTGGTAAAATACGAAGTGTGGTAGAAAGTCATTCAATAAAGGTTTCGTTGTTCGAAACCTATGACAATAAGAATCCAGAGTTTGAAACACTTTTGACGAAAGGGAAAAATGTGACACGAGGTAAGTTTGTGAATTAGAATGAACTCAAGGATGCAAGAAACACCTAGAAGGGATTTTTTTTTTATTTCAAGGTATTCCTCAAACTGCAAGAAACTAACCTTTTTGCTAGGGTGTTTTATATTCCTTTTGCAACACCAGCTGCCATTTGCCTTAAAATTGAGAGGATGTTCAAAGAAAACCAAAGTATCGTTGTATCTAGTGTTTGCTGTTTGAAACAGACCTGACACTACCCATATTGAACGACCGTCCAACCCCTTTTAAGTTCCATCTGAACTGCATAGTCCTTTTTCCTTTAAACATTGAGCAAAATGTAACAAACAGATCATATTACTTGAGAAGAGCCTTCCAATCTTTACATTAAAACTCAGAAAATAGACCTTAAACACCTTACATATTTCGAGGGCGTTTATTGTGCCTCAACCAATCACACTGGAGATCAGGATACACGAGAAAATAAAAAAAAAACACACAAACTGTTTTTGTCTGTGCTCACAAATCCTTTTTATCACAACGAAAATCCAGGAATATTGCATTTCTACACAATTTTTTGAGTTGCAATCTCCTTTTTCGTTTTTTTTGCCTTATCATGTATATAATTTGCGAATTCCTCCAATTTAACTTTTCGCTATTGATTTTTTTATTCGTTTGTTTTTCTCTCCTCCTGACAGTTTTTCTTATTCTATGTTACATAAACGAGGTCGTATCCATCATGGAAACCGCTAAACGCTTAGGTATGACGAATGGGGAATACGCCTTCATAACGTTAGACCTGAATACAGACGTATTTTACAAAAACGGTCAGTGGACTGGAAACGAAGGAAAGGACTCAAGTTTTTCGAATATATTGAACGGCATTATTGATCTCAGTGTTTATCGGCCTGAGCTATCCATGGAGTTCAAACAGAAATATAGGGACATGGGA